GCCTTGCGTGTGTCTCGAGTTTCGCCAAAAGCGGCTCGTGCTCCAACCGCACGCGGAGAGTCATCATGGAGGAGCTGGAGCCATTTAGCAGCGGGTCAGGTGGTGGTCCGGCTCAAGTCCTTCTGCGGGAGCTTGCTCAGATTGGCGACCAAGCAGCAGAGGCAGCTGCCCGAGTGGCAGATGTGGCCGGCGGCAACAGCTTGTTACAGCTCCCAGCATGCGATGCCTTGCTGCAGACCTTTCTCCACGCCTTTCTTCTCTTTGCGGCCGAAATGTGGTCACGCTTAGGCTGCGACCGCAGCAAGGGCATCAAGGACAAGTTGCTTCGAGACTGGGAGCACGCTGATGCTTTCAAGCACCGGCAGAGGTGCTTGTTTTATTCGCTGTATGACTCTACGAGTCTCTGGATCATCGGGCACTGGCTCTCGCCTGCATCGCCTACACGTATGGCGCCTGGCCCACTCTTATTAGGCAACTTAGTGATCGCCGTTATCTGCTGCAACCATGCGTCGGTGCTCGACCTATTGCCTGGCCCTGAAGGGTTCCCAGCGGATCTGACAGCGTACAGGTTTCTTCAACTTCGGCGGGGCGCTGGGACGCCTTCGTCGCCGGCTGGCGGGCTCGTTGGTGTTGGTCGCCATGCCCTACTTGGAGTGCTGCGACACTTGGGCATCATGAGGGACGACCATCACCAGTATGATTTTTTGCAGGCGATGGCCTTTTACTCGGAGCAATGCATGCGAGAAAGCATGGAAGCCTGGCAAGAACTGCAGCAGGGCCCGAGCATGGAGAAGACCTTGGCGGTGCTCCAGCAACGTTTTTTCCTGCCGACCTTGTGCGCAGTGCAGGTAGGCCGCTTTCTGGAATTACTGGATTGTCGGCTCTTTCAGGGCTCGCGCTGCGATGCACTTGGGCCAAAGGCCTTGGACATGCTGTCCCACATCTTTCCACGGGAGAAGCACCCTGCAGGTCAAGATTGCGTGCTTTGGCGGAACTACATGCACAAGCTCATTGAGCTCATGGACGCCAGCCTGTGGGCCAAGGCTGAGGCGCTGCTGGGCCTAGATGATGCTGCGTTTCTGCAGCAGGCTGCAGCTGAGCTGCCTTGCCTTGGGCCACGGTTTTGGCACCACGCGTCTTTGACAGAGCACATGCTCTGCGAGGTCCGCAAGTTGCTTTTTTCCGAACACCGTGCGCACAAGGTGCGAAGAGGTGGCACGGACAGCGACTTTTATTGGGTGCTATGGCACGCAGCGTGGGCGGTTCTCGGCTAAAGTGAGCATACTTGCTGACTTGCTGAGATATGAAGGGAGCTAACAGGTGGTCTGGTTTGGAAGTGCGAGCGAAAGGCCCGCGACAGAACAGAGTGTGGTCCCGCGCACTGGGGGGAATAACTCGCTGAGGTGTTTGGGCATGTGTTGAATGCCACTGGCATGAACCTGACTGATTCTCACCTTGTTACTTCTAGATGTTCTGTCGTAAGGGCAAACATCAGCAAAATGGTCATGGTAGCTCGATAGCTGAGTTGAAATCTTCGGGACGCACAGGTCATTCTGTTCTTTTGAATGCAGTTTGATTCTGCGCAACACTTGACTGTTTGAAGTTTAGACACGGGTGGCTCATGTACAGTTATTGTCGTGCAACAGGCCGCGCCCATCTTTGATTTGCTGTTGTGTCACACTGAGAGTCCGGAAACTCAAAACAGACAAACCAAAACAAACAAAACTAAGCTGTGACAAGCAGCGACAGCCAATGACACAACGCATGCAACATACGATATGGCGTGACGCAAACACAATCGGAACTGAATGATGAGAGCGGCTGCTTGGCATTGCATGGTCAGGCAGTCTTGACTTCGTATTTGTTCTATGGAACGAGTTTCATACTACTTATCAGAAACAGTGGCTGCCTGGGCTGCAGAACAGCTTGCTTCAAAGCGCAGAGTTGCCGGAAGTCTCAGAAGTGGTTTGCAGGGTTCGAACATGTCAGACCTCATGCTAGGATGCGCAGGAAGTGAATCAAAGGACCTTTGTAGTGATCAAGTCAGGGGCTGCAATTGCCTCCTCAACCTTCCCGCCCGCACGCTGCTTCAAGTGTTTGCCCCCTGTGTTGGTCCCTATATCCTGTCTCCAACCATGGACTTGGACAAACGAATTCTCCTTTTGGGAAGACGTGACTTCCATGGTTCAATGCCGGAGTAATGTTGACGTTCCCTCCAAAGTTGATGAACTCAATGAACCTCCACTAATGAGGGGACACCCTATGAATGAACTAGGGGTTTATGGAGCCAGGGTTCCCATTACCTCGCGGAAGCCAGGTGAGGGCTGCGCGCGCAAGTGGGGAGGCCCAAAGCTCCGTGAGAGGTCAAAGCATGGCTCACCCCATTTCAGGTTCCTTTTGAAGTACTCAAGCTGGTTCGTCGCAAGGGGCGGGGGGGGGTTGAGGCTTATATATAGTGATTGGGGAAGTAAATGCGCTTATTGTGGTATATAATATATAACCTGCACACCTCCACGACGACAGCAGAGATCACCGGTCCGTTTTGCTATTTCAGGCGCTTGGTGTTACTTTGCTTTCCTTGTCTAGCAGGAAATGGATGACCCTTCACCCACCCACCAATGGATCTCAAACGAGGACAACGGGTGTGTCTTTGTTTAGAATGCCCCCTTCCTGGCGGTTTGAAAGGGAAATCGGAAGGAAGGCCGCCATTTTGAGGGGGGTCAAAAAAGACAAACGATGTTGAGCACGAACTTGGGCTGTGTGGGACCAGCTCGCCGAAGGGGACAACGATGTCTTAGTATTGGTGTTGAGTCGTCCTATTTAATAGCTGTCATGGACTTTCTGGAATGTTGAAGCAGCTTGAAGTTGTTGTTTCCACGTGCCACGTGCCACGACCCTTTTCATTAGGAGGAAGAGGTTCAGCGGTTCAGGGGTGATGTGCGTGTGGCTGCGAAGAGTTGTTTTTATCTGTGTTCTTGGGCCAGCGTGTTCACTCTTACTGGCAATGCTGCTTGATGGCCGAATCTGGGCAGATGCGCGGGTTGAACTTCTTGGCAGACGGGCTGCGGACGCCGGCAAAGCGATTGAAAGGACATGAAGAGGCGCCTGGATTGGTTCGGTTCAGAACCTGCCCAAGGACGGGCCGAAGACCGCAAGCGTTGCGCGGGACTTTTGCGAAGGCATCCTGCCAGAAGTCTTGACAATGAGAAGCTGCGGTGTCCTAAGCTTCTACCGCAGCTACTTCGTCTTGATGCAGCCGCTGGCGTCATGCTGCGCCGATGATGCTGCGATGCAGCCGAAGGGGCCATAGTGTGTTAACGTAGCCTTCCAAACACAGTCATCTGGATTTGCCTCGCAATCATTTGGTCTTCGATTCTTGAGGAATGCGAGGTGCAGTTGCTTTTTTTCTGAGGATGTTTGTCATGTTGTTCATCTGTTTCTAGCGCTGTTCAATTTTCTGTTAGCGGGGCAGCAGGTCAGCAGTCCCTCATTTTGACAGAAAACGCATAGTTCCAGCATAGCCCGCAATAATGTTGACCCACGATTAAAGACCACCCCCTTGGTTCCATTTCGTTTCCAGTGGTTGCCATTTGTTTTCCATTGGTCGGCAATTGGCTTTCCAAGTTGTTTTTTCGCGGTTTTCCTTGCTTTCCATTGGGTTTTTATTGGGTTTGCATGTGTTTCCCATTTGCCAAGCTTCAAGAACAGGGATCACGTTTCAGATGTTTCCACTGAAAGGTTCACCCGAAATGGACCAGAATCAATCATGCGATGTCTGTGGGGGGGGGGAAAGCTGAGTAAGTTTTAAGGGACTTCCTTTGGCTATTGCCTCGTTTGGCTATTCCCTCGGTTATTTACCTGGACCCTCAAACTACCCTTAAAAAGCGGAAAGCCATCCCGTGATTGCAGGGCATCCATTCTTTTTGGGGGTTGTTTGAGGGTCCAGGTGCTATATGGTTCGACGGAACTGGGAAAAGGGCTTGAGCCGCTGGACACCCTGAGGCTTGAACATGGCCCTGACCACGGGGCGCTGGCCGATCTACCGGAAATGCTGCAGGCCTGAGATGTTGTCAGGGGGTCAGCAAGTTCCCCCCTTTGGGTTTTTTTTGCGGAAACCCCGGCAGCTGCCACGCTGGGCGGAAACAGCCCTCGAAAGTTTCGCGGGCCGTGGTGCGATGAGCCGCTTCAACACATTCGCGGGCATCACTTGGGCCATCATCAGGATGTCCCCTCTAATTAAGCATTGTCCTGAATTAAGTCCTCACCCAACTTTAAGACTTGTAGTAAAGGCTTCCCTGATTTGAGCCGGAGACAAAATACTTCATGTAAAGGATTAGCGCTTGCGCTGAGAAGTTGCCATTTCCAGGCTGGAGCTGCCATGGTGCGCGCTTGCGCTGCGAAGCTGTGTTCTTTTTCTCGCGCGGACGTGTCTTGAAGAACCGCCCCAGCACCCCCAGCATCACCAGCAACACCCCCAGCATCACCAGCAATACACCTAGCATCACCTGCAACCCCCCATCACCCCCAGCATCACCCCCAGCATCACCGGGAAGTGACAACGACCGTTGCCGATTTTCCAAGACAAAAACTCCAGGAGTTTGAGTCTTGAAAAATGCCCCAGCAACACCCCGCCCCAGCATTGCCAGCAACACCCCCAGCATCACCAGCATCACCTCCAGCAACACCCCCAGCACCGCAAACAAGGAGCGTCGCAGATTTTCAAGACAAAAATTCAGTGAATTCTTGTCTTGAAAATCGCCCCAGCAACACCCCCAGCATCTCCAGCATCACCAGCCAAACCGGGGCGAAAACAACTAGCCCGTTCGAAATCCATGGGGTCCTAATCAGAATCTGCACGACTTTTTGTCTTAAAAAAAGGGGTCCCGCAGAAAAATGCACAACAATTCTTTGAAAACACTAGGAGCTTGTGTCTTGAAAAGCGGTCCCAGCAACACTCCCGGCATTCCATCGCCAACAGCACTCCCCTCTGAAGAAGCTGCGAACCAGGCCGGCGTACTCCCCCACGTTGTGGGTTGGTTGGCTGTCCTTGGAAACCATCATGGCAGAGTAAAACGAGAGAGCCGGGCAAGAACTGTTCCCAGATAAGCGGCTTTGGGCTGTTACACCTTTGCTGTAAAGGGGCCAGGGACAAAGGGCTAGGGCCTTTCACTCACTTGCTGGTTGCAACTTGTTTTTTTTAGAAGAACCCAACCTGGGTAGCTAATCCCATGTGTGTGAGTGTGGCAAAAGTAAAATGACTTGGGGCTGCATCCTTGGCCCATTGCAGAGAAAAGCTTGTTGAGCTCATAAGGCGTGCGGAGATCTGTCTATCATAGGCCCACTCGCTTTTGCTGGGGCGATTTAAATCCGCATGCTCGAAAGCAAAACAGTCTGATTTGCAACAACTCTTGCTTTGTAGGAATTTCGGGGAGGGACACCCTGGCGTGTTTACAAGTCACACGCAATCCACACAGTCTCTGTTGAATACTCACGAGTTTACACGGGGGATGGCTAAGCTCAGAAGGTGCGCGGGGATCTGTCTATCATAGGTCCGCTCACTTGTGATTTGTCCTGCGCAGAAGGTCTTGTGTGGCTGGTGTTGCTATGTCCAAACGCATCTGCCTCTGAAGCAAGCTCTCGCGTGCAAGGTGATAGCGTTCAGGTTTGGGTCCGAGACAGCATTCATTTACCCCTTGATGGGGCTTCTTGTAGCGCTGGCAGACGCTTGACGCACATTATCCATTTCCGCTTGTCCTCGCATTGCGGCGGTGTCGCAGTATCCGCATGCCTGATATCACGATATTGGCTGCGGCGTTTTTTTGGTCAAGCCACTGGAGTCGAGCGTTTGCCCGCTCTCGCCTTGGCTCTTGGCTTGAGGGGGGGGGGGCTCGTTTCAACGTAGTGGTTTGAGGCAAACAAATGGTGGGGAGGGCAGGCTATAAAGCGGCATGGTCAGTGGGTGATTGAAATCAGGCCAGTTGGAGGAAGCGCAATGAACTAGACAGCAACATTGGTAAGTCTCGGAGACATGGAGCCATGGCGCAGCCTAACTGTGCGAGATGCAGACACGGCAGTAGCAATGTTGGAGGGGCGGAAGCGAATGGAGACACGGACAAGGAGGCTAGCCAAAGGATGGTATAACTTACACATCGGCAAGAGCTCTACGTCCAGACCATCGAGCGCTGTCATTGGTGCGATCCGACTTGGTCGCGTCCTCGAGTGCACCAGCTTGGATGACCCCTGGGCAAAGCCGGAATGCGGCAGGTTTTCGTCCGTCATCGAGGAGGCGATCACTTTTGAGCAGCCGCTGGCGAATGTTTCTGGCGGGCAGGGGACTTGGTATATCAAGTCGCAGGCCCTGCAGCGGGAGCTTGCTCAGCTGCAGAGCGCGGGCTGCCGTCAGAGCTTTCCTTCGTACAGGCCTGACCTCCCAGATCTTCGCCAAGCGTCAAGACCGGCGCTTTATACACCTTGGGCAAAGAAGAAGCCGCGCAAGGTACGCTCTGATGCTGGCAAGCCCAAGTCACAGCCAGTAGCGGCACCATCTGCAGGTCGCGCCGCGCGCCGCATGGAGGCAAGGGCTGTATGCAAAAAGCGAAAGTGGAAGCCTTGGTCGAGAGCTGCCAACCTGCCTGCGGCGTCCTCAGCTGCGCCAGATGCGGCGAAGATGCCGCGGAAGTCTGAGCGTGGCACCGGTGCCTCTGCTGCACTATGGGTGCCCGTAGCTACCTTGTTGCAGTGACTAATCAAAGGTTTACTCCATGGCGATGCTCCTAGGCTGCCCTTGGTGTCCCCATCCCAGGAATGGCGCCTGGCGTGCAGAGGGTGGCTGCAGGACGAACATGGCACGTGCTAGTCAAGCTCATGAGCAAGAACTTGCTAAGCTCTGGCAGTAACTGGCATGACGCATCCATTTCTCCTCGGCCTGGGCTCTTTGCAACGTTGCGGGCTACAGACCAGGGACTTTTCATTGTTGGCACATTTTGGCGGCGTGGCGTCGCTATGGCTGATGTCGTGCCATTGTCCCTTCGGCCAGTTAGTTCCTTCATTTGTTGGATGGAGCCGGGCTTTTGCCATGGGACAAGCTTATCTTTCCCACACGGTGCTGGAGGTAGTCAGAAAGTGTTTCATGACTCTGCCTGTGCAGGCGCTATCACCAGGACAGCGGCTTGCATCTCGCCCACAGCCGAGAGGTGACCACTCTTCGCCAAGCGGACATTGAGGACGTGGGCTTGCACTTCCGGGTGCTGCCGCACAGAGGAGGTGTTACAAGCACGCTGCGGTTCGATGCACTCAAAGAAGGCCCTGCGACGGTGGAGAGCTCTTTGCCTGCCCAAGCAGCCGCCGCTGCTGCCTGTCTGAAGACGCCTAGTGCTGATGGCATCATGCCGGCTGCTCTTGCCCAGCTGTCATCTGCGCAGCCAATCCGAGTGTCTTCAGCAGCAGCCACGGAGCACGCAAAGCAAGCCGGCCACCGAGTGCTCAAACGGACAGACAAGGTCCGCACCTGCTTTGTGCTGCACTTGCCCTTGCCCATAGAGGTGGACGTTACGCCATGGCGATGCAGGACATGCCGTGGAAGCGGTCAGTACTTTTCCGTATCGTTTGAAGACATTCAGAGGGAGGTGCCTGACGTCTTGTGCTGGTCCATGCCGAAGTTTGGCCAGGTGCTTTTCACGCGCCAGCTGCTTTTCTACCTCGTGCTCTCGTTCTATGAGAAGCTAAGCATGCGTGCAGTCCGTAGAGGGCTTGTCGAGCTTTACGGCGCCAACGCTCTGTCTCTGCTCGGCGGCGCTTGCCGGCTGCGAGTGTTCGAGGCAGTCCCTCACAGCGGCGCTTTCTCGCAGCTTCTGGCGCAGGGGCTGGAGAGGTTCCTGGATGCTACTCAGCTTAATGGGCGCAGTCTCGTTTTTTTTTTGGCGGTGCATTCCATGGGCTTAGGGCCTTAAGTGCAAGGGCTGCGGGGCATGTGCCTCCTTCTTGCAAATTGCGACAGGAGCAGGTGAAGGACCTTCAGGTCGGTGTCCACGTGTACTCTGGTAGCATTGTCCGGGGCGACGGTCACCACCGGCTAGCTCGCAGGGTGATGCGAATGGTGGCCGGAAAGCAGCGGAGACCATGGAACGTGCTTCTTGGATGGGTGGGTGTCGACGGCGCGCTGCTGGCCCCGCCGACGTTGGCAAAGTCGGAGAAGCTAGTGCCGCAGTAGTGTGCTTTCACGGTTTGTGTTTGCTGGCACCCGGTCCGCTTGCTTGCAAGTGCTGCCAGTCTTCGAGACTCGCTGCCAGGTCAATCGATGACTTGATCGCCTCCTTGGAGCCGCTGATGACCACCATGCGCGACAATCGCTTGAAGCACGGCATGTCCGTCAGCGAAGCCCAACCAATTGCACACTGTACCGTCTCTTGGCTCTACTTGCCATTGTTTCTTCGTGCGCAGAGTGTTGCTTGCATTGCGCAGTTCTTGGGTAGGATCCACCCTTGGCCACAACACCAGGACAGTTACAACAAGCACAAGGACCGCTATGAGAGCTTCTATCAGCGGATCTTCCCTGATGCCTCCATGCATGTGCATGCCAGCACGCCGTGCGGAGATGCTGCCTCAGCACAAGGCGGCGCACGCGCATCCTGTGGTACGAGGATAACTGGCGATCCCGGGCATGAGTGCTTCGGCTTCCGACGGTGTCTCAGCGTGCATGCCAATGACAGGACCTCGAAGCAGATCACGCTCTGGCTCTGGCCGAGCTCTCTTCGCCAGTGCTAGCTGTGGAGCGTCAGGCTGTGTCTGCGGCGCCTGCAGAGCTAGCAAAAGAAAGCCGGGGGCTACTGCAGCTGGCCGTGGAGCTGCCGAAGCCTCTGTGGCAGAAGGAACTTGCTGCACAGCCTGCGGCGTACGAAGACTTGCAGACGTGGCTGCGGCAGGTGCACGTCGATCAGTGTGCAACATGGAAGCAGGTCTTTTCTGCGAGGCCGCCGCGGGGTGTGCTGCGACGACTGGCTGCCCGTGCAGGGGTGAAGCTGCATCGCGCATGCGATGTTCAGGGCTACTCGAGCCAGGCCGCCTTCAGGGATCAGCTTCGAAAGATCAAGCGATGGAGCCTGAGATGCCGGTAGTATCCTTTTGGTTGCGCAGCGCAGTGTTGTTGCGCTTCGGTTTCTGTGAGGCCGTGCTGAATATGAGAGTCCGCTGTTCCCAGGTACAAGCCCGGCAGGCGGAAGCTGCGCCACAAGCTCGGCATCAAGCGGCATCGGCAGGACAAGCCCTTTGTCAAAGGGCTGACCTCAGCGTGGACAAAGAAGGTGCGGTGCCATTGGCGGAGGCTGCTGAAGCCCAAGAGAATGGAAGGATTATGGCAATGGCATCTTACGTCAGTCTCGGTGAACCAAGCCGGCATAGCCATGCAAACAGGCACGCTTCCTTGCGAGAGAGCTTGGGCATCTATGTTGGCAATGTTGCCCTCGAGTTCGCGATGCATGTCAGAGCGCTACTTTCGAATCGCCAGCCAGATATTCTTTTTAAGGCACAACTTGCGCCACTTTTCTAGTGGGTATTTGCCGCCTTGGGCACGGGAGGATAGCCTCCTAGCGCAGCGGCTAGATCACATAGAGGCCACTGCGAGAGCTCTTGCTGAGGGCGGGGTCTTGGTGGATACGCTGTGCGCGCCTTTCCAGAAAGGAGGGGAGCAGCTCAATTCGTGACACGATTTGCGCGGGCGTCGGATCATACAAGTGTGCCTTTGAGTTGTTCCTTGAGCCCTTTTTTGCAAACCAAAAACTCACCAAGTTATGACGTGTGTGGCTCAGTGATGTTTGCTTGTTCAAAGATGATCTGGTTGCCGCCAGTGACATGGAGAAGACCCCTTGCTTGCGCCACTTGGAGAAGCTTTTTGAAGAGAAGGACTGCTGAAGAGAAGGGGACTGGATGTGATGAGCAGCCTCCTTTGAACCCCTCCCCCCCGACCTGAAGCCAGCTCAGAGGCGGTGCTCCGGGCCCTGCTGAGGCAGCTGGAGGCCCAGGGCGTGTCTGGCTGTCGGATTGGCACCAGA